ATGAAGATTTACACCTTGGTCTGGTTAACAACGGCTCAGGTGTATTTTGGGGCTTCCTTCGTTACGCTGTATGGCAGGAAGAGCCTAACCGAAGGAGGTAAATCTGAATTGTTTACATTATTCCAAAGTTGATATTTTTTCTGTCTTTCGTACTTATTGTCTGTGTTTACTCTGTTGATATTTATTTCTGTCTTCTTTGTCTGTGTCTGTTCCAAAGTTGAATTTTGATAATAGTAATAATAATAATGAGGATAGCGAGAACAGTAATGATAATGATCATGATAATAATGATAGTAATAATGATAATAATGATAATAACAATAATCAACCAAAATAAAATCCCTATAATCAAGCATTTCACCTTAGAAAAGAAAAGAAAGAAAGAAAAAAACACCAAAAGAGCATTGTCCATTTACCCCCCCCCCTAAAAAAATGATAATTAAAAAATAAAAATACAAATAATAATAAAATAAGAAAATAAAGAATAAGAAATAAATACAAAACCTTTTTTTCCACACGCATTCAACAGAAGAAGCATCCAGGGCGCCGGAAGTGGGAGGAGCTATAGTGGATATCCTCAGCTTAAAGGCCACGCCCCCATGCTCGACCCTCCTCCTCTCAGACGGCACCAGCTGGGCGGCCGTTATCCTGCAGGTGGTGATGTTGCTGTGGTAGATTTGGAATCTCTGCGTGAATTTTTGTTGTTTTATTTGGGTTGATGTAGGGAGCTGTGTGCGTTTTGAGTGTGTTTGTTTGTTTGTGTCTGTCTGTGTGTTTGTGTGTGTGTGTTTGTTTGTGTGTGTGTGTGATGTGTGTGTGTGGTGTGTGTGTATGTGTGTGTGTGTGTGTGTGTGAGTGTGTGTGTGTGTGTGTGTGTGTGTGTGTGTGTGTGTGTGTGTGTGTGTGTGTGTGTGTGTGTGTGTGTGTGTGTGTGTGTGTGTGTGTGTGTGTGTGTTGTGTTGTGTGTGTGTTGTGTGTGTGTGTGTGTGTGTGTGTGTTGTATATTTATGTATGCGTGTGTACACGCATGGGTACATCAGCACTATGTATGTATCATGTACGCATGTATCTATATATCTATCTATCTATCTATCTATCTATATATATATTATATATATATATATATATATATATATATATATAATATATAATATATATATATATATCTAACCACAGAATGCACCCACACCCACCATAACCCAAACCCTCCACCATTCATCAATTCATCCATTTATTTAACCTAGGAACTGGCTCGTCTTCTGTCCGCTTGGGGCGTGGGTGTCTTCCGGGCGACAGGTGGCGAGAGGGAGGCCAACGGGACAGGAGACCAGCTGTCACAGGTGGTTCCTTTGGCTCGTCAGGTGAGGTCACCCGCCCCCCTCCCCGTAGAGATTTAGAGGGGAAGAGTAAAGGAAAATGGGTAATAGATAATAGTAATAAGCAAGAATAGTAGACAACAGTATTGGATAATGATATTAAGTAATAATGTTAAATAAGGGTATTAAGTAAGGGTATTGACATGGTATTACGGAAAAGTATTAGGGAAAATTGTTAGGTAATGAAAATAGGTAAGAGTTTTAGGTAAAAGTAAGAAGGAAAAGTAATAAATAAAAGTATTAAGTAATAGTATCGAGTAAAAGTATTTAGCAAAAGTATTTAGTAAAAGTAAGAAGTAAATATATTACTCACTAATATCATGGCAAAAAAATCAAGTGAAAGTATTGAAGAATAATAATAAGTAAAACTAATAAGCAAAAGCATTCAGTAAAATAATGAAATTAAAGTATTCAATAATAACATTAATCATTGTTAATAGGATGTCATGACATACATGCCACGTCTCTCGTGATTTTAGTCTATTCAATAATCTTTATTTATTATCGATTTTATCATTCATTCACCAAAGAGACAGTTGCTAATCCTACCTACCTTTTCCTTGATTTTCGGAGATTTGTTTTATTGCTATTAGTATTGTTAATGCCTCTATAATAATCATAATGTCAATAACAGTCATAATAACAACGTCGATATTATTAACATTATAGAAAAAAAAATATCGAAAACATAAGGAAAAAAAATGATTTCACTCAAACAAACAAATACATTACAATTTCCAAACCTAAACTAGCCCAACCTATCCTAACCCAAGTAGCCTAAGCTAAACTAAGCTCAGCTAATCTAACTTCACCTAATCTAACCTAAATTAACCTTAAGTAACCTAACCTAATTTAATCCAATCTAACCTATCCTAACATTACCTAATTCAACCCAACCTAGCCTAACCTATCCTAAACTTACCTAACCTAATCTAACCTAACCTGACCTATCCTAACCTAACCTAATTGAGAGTGGTATCATCTCGTGTCAAGACGCCGCCATCTTGTTTGTTTCATGCGCAGAACTCCAATCGGAGACTTTTCTACCGTACCAGTAGTCACTTCCAAACAAAAACACAGAAAAAAATAAAAAAACAAAAAATGCAACATGTAAACAAATAAGAAATTTTTCCACCTTGACAAAAGAAATCTAAAAAAACATGCCGACAACTAAACAAATAAAAAGAATCAAGAATATCCTACAAAAAATAAACAAATAAAAAACAAGAACACGAAGAACAATTACAAGAACAGATTTGCCTCAAACCTTCATCATAAATAAACTACAAGAACAAAAAAAAAATCCAAACAAGTAAACAAACAGAAACAAGAACACGAAAAAACAAATAAAAAATCCGACCTCTCCCTCCCCCCCCAGATTCGCCTCAACTACCGGTGCACCAACGTCGTGGTCATCAGCCGTGACCTGACCTTCCTCACCGCCTTCGCCAAGAGGTCACTCCAAGACCGCCTCTTGGTGTGGTCGACGAAGCTCCTCTTGGTCACCCGCCGAGCTCTCCGGGAGGTCCAGGAGCTCTTGGAAGCGCACTGGACCTTCTCCATGCTGAACACGGCGCTGCTGAACCTCTGGGAAGACGAGGGCGGTGCCAGGTATGGAGGGGAGGTGGAGGGAGGAGGGAAGGGTGGGAGGGGGAAGGAGGGAGACGAGGAGGAGTGGGTGTGGGAGGGGTGGGGATGAGGGGGGAAGGGGGAGGGAGGGGTGGGATGAGGGGAAGGAGGGAGGAGGGATGAGAGGAGGGGGAGGGGTGGGGATGAGGGGGAAGGAGGGAGGGAGAGGGTGGGGATGAGGGGGAAGGGGGGAGGGTGGGGATGAGGGGGAAGGAGGGAGGGGGGGTGGGGATGAGGAAGGAGGGAGGGAGGGTGGGGATGAGGGGAAGGAGGTGGGGATGAGGGGAAGGAGGGAGGGAGGGATGAGGGAAGGAGGGAGGGAGGGGTGGGGATGAGGGGAAGGGGGAGGGAGGGGGGGTGTGAGGGGGAAGGAGGAGGAGGGTGGGGATGAGGGGAAGGAGGGAGGGGTGGGTGGGGGAAGGGGAGGGAGGGGGGATGAGGGGGAAGGAGGAGGAGGTGAGAGGGGGAAGGAGGGAGGAGGAAGGGGCGGGGGTGAGCGGGAAGGAGGATAGAGAGTGGGGGTGAGGGGAAGGAGGGGTGGGGGAGTGAGGAGGAAGGGGGAGGGAGAGGGGGTGAGGGAAGGAGGATGGAGGTGGGTGGGGGGTGAGGGGGAAGGAGGGAGGGGGAAGGGAAAATGGAGGGATCTAGAGAAAGAAGGAGGGGAAGGGAAAATGGAGGGATCAGGAAAAGGAGGGAGGGAAGGGAATATCGAGGGATCTAGAGAGAAGAGGAATGAAGGGAGAAAGAGAACCTCACGCCCCATCCCTCCCTTCCAGATATGACGTGTATCTCCACATGCCTTACGGACCGGGCGGGAAAAAGTCGCGCCGCGTGGCCACCTGGACGGCCAGACGGGGCGTCGTTCTCAGAGCGCGCCAACGCCTCTTCCCCGAGAAGTTTCTGAAGTAATATTGTGGATGTTCCGTCATGCTCATATTTTTTTTATCTATTTGTCTGTTCTTTCATTTGCCTATTTATTTATATTTCCATTTACGTATTTTTATCTGTTCTTTTATTTATCTATTACATTTATTCTACCGTTTATGTAACTTATTTATTAGTTTGTTTATCTAATGATTTATTATTTTTATTTGTCGTTTCTGAAGTAATATTGTGGCTGTTCCGTCATGCTCATATTTTTTTATCTGTTTATCTGTTCTTTCATTTGCCTATTTATTTATTCTTCCATTTATGTAACTTATTTCTTAGTTTGTTTATCTAATGATTTATTTTTTTATTTGTCTTTTCTGAAGTAATATTGTGGCTGTTCCGTCATGCTCATATATTTTTTTATCTGTTTATCTGTTCTTTCATTTGCCTATTACATTTATTCTTTCGTTTACGTAACTTATTTATTAGTTTGTTTCTCTTTTGATTTATTATTTATATTTATCGTTTCTAAAGTTATATTGTGGCTGTTCCGTCATGCTCATATTTTTTTATCTGTTTATCTGTTCTTTCATTTGCCTATTTATTTATTCTTCCATTTATGTAACGTATTTATTAGTTTGTTTATCTACTGATTTATTTTTTTTATTTGTCGTTTCTAAAGTAATATTGTGGATGTTCCGTCATGCTCATATTTTTTTTTTATCTATTTATCTGTTCTTTCATTTGCCTATTTATTTATTCTTCCATTTATGTAACTTATTTATTAGTTTCTTTATCTACTGATTTATCTTTTTTTATCTATCGTTTCTAAAGTAATATTGTGGCTGTTCCGTCATACGCTCATATTTTTTTATCTATTTATCTGTTCTTTTATTTATCTATTACATTTATTCTTCCGTTTATGTAACTTATTTATTAGTTTGTTTATCTAATGATTTATTTTTTTATTTGTCGTGTCTGAAGTAATATTGTGGATGTTCCGTCATGCTCATATTTTTGTATCTGTTTATCTGTTCTTTCATTTGCCTATTTATTTATTCTTCCATTTATTAACTTATTTATTAGTTTGTTTATCTATTGATTTATTATTTTTATTTATCGTTTCTAAAGTAATATTGTGGATGTTCCGTCATACGCTCATATTTTTTTTATCTGTTTATCTATTCTTTCATTTGCATATTTATTTATTCTTCCATTTATGTAACTTATTTATTAGTTTGTTTATCTATTGATTTAATATTTTTTATTTATTGTTTCTGAAGTAATATTGTGGATGTTCCGTCATACGCTCATATTTTTGTATCTGTTTATATGTTCTTTCATTTGCCTATTTATTTATTCTTCCATTTATGTAACTTATTTATTAGTTTATTTATCTACTGATTTATTTCTTTCATCTATCGTTTCTAAAGTAATATTGTGGATGTTCCGTCATATGCTCACATATTTTTTAATGTATTTATTTGTTCTTTCATTTGACTATTTATTTAGTCTTCCATTTATGTAACTTATTTATTAGTTTATTTATCTGCTGATTTTTTTTAATCTCTTGATTTATTCTGTTATCTGTTTAATCTATTTGTTTACGTGTTCATTTATTTGATTTTTTACCGGGATTCCGTAGACTACATTCATATAAAGAGACGGATAAGTAGATGATGTAAATGAAAGACTAAGAGGAATTATCTCACCTGAGTAACTACTCTTCTTAAAAAAAAGTATTGATGAATAATTGAGTCTTATATTTCCTTATTCGTGTATTTATACGTTTATACACGTATAATTATTTTCTTTCAAATATTTCTCTCCCTCCCACTGTTCCCTCACCCTTCCAGTTTCCACGGCGCCGAGGTCAAAATAACTGCCTTGCCGTTCCTCCCCTTCTGGAACGTGGCCAAGGAGAAGGGGAACGGCGGCGCGGAGGTGGAACGCTACACGGGGTCTGACTACGTGTTGCTCGAGACCCTGGCGTGGAAGATGAATTTCACCATCAGCATTCTGCCGTCGTCGTCTTGGTCGGAGGTGAGGGAGGGAGGGGGAGGAGGAAGAAGGGGAGGATGGAAGGAGGGATGGGGGGGATATGGAGGGAATGGGAGGGAGGGGGAGGGTGGAGGAAAGGAAGGAGGATGGAGGGAGGGAATGGGAGGGAGGAAGGAGAGGGAGGAATGGGAGAAGGAGGTGAGGAGGAAGGAGGTAGGGAGCAAGGAAGTGAGGGAGGAAGGAAGGGGGATGGACGGAGGGGGAGGGAGATAGAGGGAATGGAGGGATGAAGGGGGATGAGAGAAGAAGAGAGGGGGAATGGAAGAGGGGCTTTTGCGGTGAAGCTGTGCTGTGATGTCGTCTTGGTCTGAGGTGAGGGGAAAGAGGGAAGGAGTTGAAGAAAGGAGGAGGAGGAGGAATAAGGTAGAGGTGGATGGGGAAGAGTAGCGAGGGGGCGGGGAGGAAGGGATGGAGGGGGGGTAGGGAGATGGAGATGGAAAGGGGAAATGCAGGGAAAAAAGAGGGAGGGTTACAGCCTGTGTTGCTGTTGACTTCTTGGTCGGGAGGTGAGGGAGGGAGAGGAGAGGAGACGGACATGGAGAGGAGAGGTGGTATGGATGGAGAGGAGAAAGGAGGAGATGAAGGAGAGGGGAGGAGAGGAGAAGAGAGGAGATGAAGGAAGGAGAAGGAGAGGAAGGGAGAGGTGGAATGGAGGAGAGGAAGAAAGGGAAGAAAGGGAAGATTTTGAGATGGGAAGAAAGGAGAGTAAGAAATCTAAGGAAGGGGAATGGAGGGAGAGACTTGGAGAGGAAAGGAGAGGAGAAGGAGGGAGGGAGAGATTTAGGGAAGGGAAATGGAGGGAGAAAAAGAGGAGGGGATGTGAAAATCCGCTCGACGTCTGTGTGGTACTGACGGCTTCGTGGTGGAGGTGAGGGAGGGAAATGGGGAGAAAGGAAGGAGAGAAAAGAGGAAGGGGAGTGGAGGGAGAAGAAAGGGGTCACAGAAATATTCCAACTCACCTTTCTCGGGAAGGAGGGGGAGTTGTGGAGGGGCATGGAGGGAAGCAGAGAGCGAGGAAGAAAGAAAAGGAAAAAGAGATGGTGAATACAGACATACTGAGAAAGGGGAAATTTCAGATAGAGAAAGAGAGGAACAGAGAAAGAGGGGTATGCAGGTAAAGAAAGTAATAGGCAAAGGAAGAGAGGTAAAATGGGACGTAAATAGAAAGAGAGAGAGAGAAAAGGCAGATAATAGGATGTGGGGAGAGGGGATGGATGGAGGGAGGAACACGGAGTAGGAGAGAGAGGAAGAGGGGAACAAAGGGACGGGAGGCAACATTAACTACACTAATCATAACAACAAGAGTAAAACAGCATAATGAATGTAAAACAATGATAACAAGAATGACAACAACTACTACTAGAATTATTTTTGTTTCCACAACTACTACTCGTATTACGACTTCGGCTACTATTATTAGTACTACTACTACTACTACTACTACTACTACTACTACTACTACTACTACTTCCACTACTACTACCACTATCATTACTGCAATTACTACTCATACTTAACTACTACTCCTACTACACTCATACCCCCCCCGCCCCCCACCTTCCCAGGCCACGAGATTCGTCGAGGAGCGCCTGGCGTTTATGACCTCCATCTACCACATCGTCCTCCCCGGCCGCCAGGAGCGCTACGACTTCACCTTCACCTACGAGTTCGCGCAGTTCTCCTTCGGATTGGCCAAGCCCTTCCTCAGGCCCCGCTGGCAGAGCCTCTACTACCCGCTGACGGACGAGGTGTGGGCGGCTATCCTCGCGGCGGTCGTGGTGGTGCCTCTGGTGCTGTTCGTGGTGAGTGGTGTGCGGGAGGAGGAGGAGGAGGAGGAGGAGGAGGAGGAGGAGGAGGAGAGAAGAGGAGAGGAAGGAAGAGGAGAGGAGAGAGGAGCAGAAAGAAGAAGGAGGAAGAAAGAGAAAGAAAGAGAGGATGAAGGAGGAGGAGAGGATGGGAAAAGGAAGGAGGGAGGGAGGGGTGAATGGAAGAAAATGGGGAGGAAAGAGGGAGATGGATAGTCAAAGTTACCAAAAAGAAGAGGAAAAGGAAGGAGGCACTGGATAGATAGATAGGAGGGAGAGAAGAGATGAGAGCAGGAAGAGGAGAAAAGGGAAAGGATGAGAAACAAACAGATTCAGCGAGAAAAAAAAAAAACAAGCAGACAGACAACAAAACTCATCACACAAACCTCATCAACCTCAAATACCCACCCCCTCCCACCTTCATGCCTTCAGATCACCCGCCTCTGGCACGTGGAAGATGCAGAGGACGAGAACGAAACGAGGGCGTGGCGAACGAAGCTGGGAAGAGCCGCCCAAGACCTCACGGGGATGCTCCTCGGACAGTCTCCCCCTCAAGGACTACCGAGGAGGTCTTCTACTCGAGTCCTGGTTGGGGCGTGGCTGCTTTTCTCCATGGTGGTGGTCTACGTCTACAAGGGGAATCTGACGGCTTCTCTCATGCTGCCCAAGTACCCGCCGAGGCCTGAGACGCTGGCTGAACTCGTCACCGCCGTAGATACGTAAGGAAGTTGAAGAGCAAAAAGGGAGGAAATGGATTTTTTTTGAGTCAGTCCCCCCTTTTAGGTGTGTTGGTTTTCTTTATTAATTTCACGTTTTCTTTATCAGCGTTCGAGAAAAAGTACATATATATATGCCTATGTGTATTTCTGCATCTCACCAACATCTTGAAAACAAAAATATATTACATTTATCAGAGTTACTTGGATATTTTCATTACCAGAGTTGCTATTAGACATATTCATCTAAATTACTCTCATAATCACGAAAACATTCCTCATAAACGTTTCCAAAATGTCAAATCAGAAGCTAATCCTAAGATGCAATATTTATACGATCAGAATCACCATGCCGCCCTACGGAGAGGATTTCCGTCGTTTCTTCAAGGCTTCGGATTCCATTATCTTCAATAAGGCAGCGGATCTCATGGTGATCGGACCGTCTGTGATGGAGGGACTGGCCGGCGCCACGCAGAGGAAGTGGGTTCCAGTTGCTTTTGTGCTGGATTTTTTCATTTATTTATATTTTTTTTTCTATTGTTGGGTGGGTGATGAGCGTTGTTTCATTCATTTATTATTTTTCATTGTTATTATTTTATTTATTATTTATTTATTTATTTATCTTTTTTTGTGGGGGGCAAGGTCGCTGTGTTTGATATATTTGAGTTTTTTTCTTGACGCGATGTCTTTGAAGTGTGTGTGTGTGTGTGTGTGATAACCAAATAAAAATAGACATCATCAACAACAAGACTCAAACAATATCTAAACTAACTCCACATCTCTCCCCCCCTTCCTCCTCTCCTCCCACCTCTCTCCTGCTCTTCTCATTCTTCCTTCATTCACTATCCTCCCTCCTCCTACTCTTCTCCTTCTTCTTCTCCTCCACCTCCATCTCCCACCTCCCTCCTTCCTCTTACCTCCCTCCTTCATTCACCTCCTCCTCCTCCCACCTCCCTCATTCACTCCTCCCTCCTCTTACTCTTATTCTCCTCTCTCTACTCCTCTTCTCTCCTCCTCCTTCATTCACCCTCCTCTTACTCTTCTCTTTCTCCTCCTTCATTCACCCTCCTCTTACTCTTCTCTTTCTCCTCCTTCATTCACCCTCCTCTTAATCTTTTTCCTTACTCCCTCTTCCCACCTCCTCCACCTACTCCTCCTCCTCCATTTCTTTTCTTTTTTTTCTTCTCCTCTTCCTTCTTCTTCTTCTTCTTCTTCTCTTCCTCTTCTCTCCTCCTCCTCCCCTCCCCCTCCCTCTTACGCCCCCTCCCCTCCTCCCCCCAGACAAGCCCATCTGAGCGGGGTCCGCCACATGCAGCACAGCATAGCGGAGAGCTTCACGGACGCCAACGGGGAGACGAGGCTGTACGTCGGGCGAGACAGCGTGTTCCCGGCGCCCTCTGGCTGGCCCGTTCCTCACGACGCCCCCTATAAACACGTGTTGGATCGCAACATCATGGCTATAATTGAGGTAGGTGGGTTGGGGGCGTGAATGGGGGACTTGGTGTCGTTGTGAGGGTGGTTGGTGGTGGTGGTTGGTTGATCGTGGTTGGCGGTGTTGAGGTAGGTGGGATATGGTGGTGAATAGGGTACTTGATGGTGTTGCGGTGTGGTGATGATGGTGTTGTTGTGGAGGTACTTGGTGGTGTTGCGCTCTTCTTTGGTGGTGGTGTTGAGGTAGGTTTGTTGTTTTGGTGATTTGATGGTGTTGCGGTGTTGTGACCGTGGTTTTTTTTTTTTTTTTTTGATTGGTTGATTGATCGATTGATGGTGGTTGATGGTAATGTTAACATTAACTGCATTAACGAAGACAGCAATAGTAAAAAATTATGACGCCTTCACCATCATCATGTGTGAAATAACAAATTTTTTTTAGACTTCCATCACAGTATATTTTACCAAATGATATGAATTTAATTATGTATATACAATTAGTTCATACCATTTTACAACTGAAAATGTAACATTCAAGTCTTTTTAAGAATAAAAGTCGACTCAACCGTTCACCCAGTTTTTCTTACATTTTCTGACAAAAAATACAACTATTTAAGATTATTTTAGCATGTACAGAACCCTTTCGATTACCAAAACAATTACCAAAGAAACCCTTTCACCCTCAACCCTTCTTCAGGCCGGTCTTTACGAGAAGTGGGCCGAAATCATGCTCGACGACGCCCGCCAGGAGAGCAAGGAGAGACAGCAGCGTGACCAACAGCAGAATCAGGGGGAAGAAACAGCTGTAGCGGAGACCAACAGCGGCGAGAAACCCCTCACTATCGTCCACCTCCAGGGCCCTCTCATACTCCTCCTCCTCGGCCTCATTTTCAGCGCCTTCACGTTCACTTTGGAGGTTGTTGTTGTGTCTTGGTTTTCCTCGAGGCCGGGCTGAAGAGGTCGCATTTGGTGCACGGATGGTTCGTGGTGTCGAAAGGGGTTGTGGGTTGTTGGCGGTAGAACTGACGGTTGATGTTCGTATGATTGTATTTATTAATTTCACTATTTTTTCTCCGAATTTCTGTGATTTTTCTTTATATTCACACTATGTACTCATTGATGACATATACTTCCATGCTTTCACATATATTTTTTATTCGTCATTCTAGTATTTATTTGTATTGCCTTATTGCAAATGAGACGCCAACAGTAAAACAAAATGCACAAAAATATTCGAAATAAAACCTTTGATTATGGACCTCTTTCTAAAAAAATATTTTTTTTTCAAATTCGCTGCCTCTCGTTTTTATATGTTATTCATCTGTTATCTTATAGTATTGTTATTATTATCATTATTATTATAGTATTATCAGCAGCAGCATTATCATCAATAGTAGTAGTAGTTCATTATTCTATTTTTCTGTTTTTCTATCTTTCCAACGTGTTTTCACTTTTAGACTTGAAAAGAAACACATTCTTCATATTATAGGGAGTATATGTGAAGTATCATTATCAGTAATATCATGCGGAATGCATATAAATGTCTGCACTATATCTTATGAACACTTACTACACAAAGCAAAGGAAAATATATTAAACTGCGTTTTATTTACCGTCAGTAGTGTTTGCCAGAGTCCCGAATGTCACTAATATGAATTCATTCGTGGGGAAAAGGGGAGGGAGAGTCTAAATCTTTGGGGATGCACAATGACTCATGAATCTCAATCACTTCTTTATCTTTTTCTTTTTCTTTCTCTTTCTCTCGCTATCTCTGTTTCTATCCTTACCTTGTCCTCAGTGGCAAACCCTCCCGCTTTCGTATGTACATTCACTCACTTTGTGGTAAAAGTTTTTACATATAATTTGAAACTTTCCGCTTTATAGTACCAATTAATTACCCAAAAAAATCTCAAATTCTGGGCGAAGAAATAAGAAACAAATTGATAGCCCTCAGTATCAAAAGGGGTAAATTTTCGAATGGAAATGAGAAACTTTTAAAAACTTAGTGCTGACTCTAATTTCTGATAAACCACTTGTAGAAGAAAAGAGCGTTCCATTTAAAGTGTTCTAAGGGCGTTTCCGCAAGGAAAAAGGCGTGGACACCTATAAGGTGCAACGTTGAGACTACACTGACTCCCCCCCCATCCTCCTTACCCTTCTTCTTCCACTCCTACTGCTACTACTTCTCCCTCTCCTTCCTCACCCCGCTTCCCTCTCCAGCTCCTCTCCCATTTTCTCTCTTTCCTTCTTCTTCTCCCCCCCCCCCCCCCACCCCTCTTTCTCCTTCTCTCTCCCCTCTCTCTTCCTCCTCTCCCTTTCCATCCCCTTTCTCTCTCACTTTCTCCCAATCCCTGTCAAGCTATAAACATGGAGTTACTGAAAAGCGGTGAAGGAGTATGACCCACCCACTGATAGTGAAAAGGGGTTTATTGAATCATCATGATGGATTTCGAGAGAAAATACGAAAAAGAAATGACAAACGTAAATAGTTATTTACGAATAGCTGAAATGTACACTAATGCATAAGGGACACAGAGAAAATCATCACACCAGTAAAAAAAAAGGAAATACAAGCAATTACTGATAACAATAACCATAATTACATGATGAAACAAGCGCATCTATACAAAGAAAAAAAAAAAAATATATCACGACTGGATTACAATTATAAAATGTGGATTTCAAGGAATTCGTCGGCAAGAATTAAAAGCAACAATGACAGTTATTTTTTGTAATAAACACTAGTGATGCTGATGATTATTACAATAACAATGATTACGATACAAGTAATGAGATTAAATATAGCACAATATTGGTAGCTATAATGATAAGAGATAAGGATAACGAACGTAACTAACGACACCACCAACAGGTACGATAATTACTGACAACACAATAATCAATACCAAGAGGGAAAAAAACAAGGAACATAAGTACGATGATTATAATAACGATTACGTAATGCAAATATGATAGCAAGGATAACGAACGCTTTACCACTAACGTCACCACCAACAACAATTACGATAATTAGTGATAACACAATGATCAATAAAAAGAGGGAAAAAAAGAAGGAACATAAGTACGATGCTTATAATAATTACGTAATACGGATAATGATAGCAGTAAAGACATCAAATCAAATGGCGGGAAAATAGATTGTAATATACAAATATACAATACCGTTTTGGTTATGTAACGAAAGAGCGAACACGTGCATTCATCTTTATCTTAAATGTCTTTTCCAATTATCTTCAAACGAAACTATCTGGAAGATTATCCAATTTACTGGCCATTTTCCAGCTACAATTCCAGAGTGATTAGCTAATCATAGTAAGAGAATAATGAAGATTGCAAGAATTTTGAACGGCGGATGCAAATGGCAACGGGAGGTTAGAAAGTCAGAAAAGGGGATATTTGCGTTTAATAGTGACAGAATCGTATGTGAATTTGCATTCAATATTTACTGTACCATTACTATTTTCATCAACATTTTCTCTCTCTCACACACATGTGTGTGTTTATATCTATCTATACACACGCACGTGTGCGTGTGTGTTGTTTATGTATATGTATATATATAAATATATGTATATATATATATATATATATATATATATATATATATATATATATATATATATATATATATATATATATACATATATATGAATATATGGATATTTATGCATATATATGCATATATATTTATATGTATACATACATATACAGGAATGTCAAATTTATTTTCTATGCTGTCTATATACATCCATACTTGCATGATACGAGTTATAAATTCACCGATTTCGCTAAAGCTCATCAGTTTAGCGCGAATAAAGTGAGAAAGATAATTGTCTAGAAAAAATATGTCAGCCTCGCATATATCTTACCTATCTTTTCACATTTTTCTCTCGATATAGCTGTTTCGTCCCTTTTTGTCATTGTTCTTATTCTTGCATTCTAATTCTCGTCCGATATTTTATCACTCACTGTTTTCGTTTTTTTCTCTTTTCTTCGTTTACCATTTCCAATTTTCTTCACCATAGAAAGTTCCATTCTTTCTCTTCCTATTTCCGTCTCAACCATCTCCTATCACATTTTCTTCTCTCTTCCACTCATCTTCTCTGTTTCAAATTCTCTTTCGAATCCACTGAGACATTCAAATCAAAAGACCAACGACTTTTTTTTCTCTTTGTCGATTCCTTTAAGAACTCTTCGATCGTCTATTTAGACAAAAACGCAAACGGGAAACGGTTCATAAGTCTCTTCAACACCCCGATCGACTTTCCTCCTATTTAAGTTTATCCATAATCTAATAAAGATTAAGAACTATCATCGGTTGAAAAGATAATCCTCTTACATACGAAATGGGGAATAAAAGTACTACAGAAATAACCAGTGTTTCGTTCATGTCAAATACATGACACTTCTTTTGCGTACAGTATCTTGTAATACTATGATAGTTGCTTCCATAAGCCCGTTACGACAAATTTGATATTAATGAAATCAGTGAATAATGTAAAGAAAGACCAATATCTTCGACTTTAGACGTAAGCTACATACATGCATACATGTGTGTATGTGTGTATGTGCTCATGTGTCAGCGAAAACACATCGGGAATAATTAACTTATTCGCTGAAAATCTTCTGCTGCGTCAACATGCAAGGTCATCAGCGGCGAATTCAAAACAAAGCGACATGGGAGGCTCTACACACCAGGTAAGGAACAGTCATGCAGCACACCATGGTAAAATATTAAGGCAAAAAAGTTAAAAAGTGAGTTAACAATTAGGAAAAATACGTTAGACGTAAAATACTGTGGCAAAAACAGATATAAATGAATAACAATTAGGAAAAATGCGTTAGATGTAAAATATTTGAAAAAAAAAGGCAAAAAATTCGTTAACAATTAGAAAAAATACGTTACATGTCAACGATTGCGGAGCGCTTTAGGTTAGTATGAGTGAAGAGGGGTAGGTTTGAATTAGGGAGGAACTGGCCCATGCCAATTTTTAAAAATGGAGAAGGAGCTTTGGTCTCTCCATGGGGTTTAGGGGGACATCAAGGATACATAACGGAAGTACTGCGCGCAAACATCAAATGCTTTTTGGTCGTGAATTGTTTGCCATGTCACCGTGTTTACCTTTAGATTCGCGTGAATGGCAAGTGCGTATACAAACGCACGTGACGTTATAAGGGTCTTAAAATAATAATAATAATAATAATAATAATAATATAATAATAATAATAATATAATAAATAAAAAATAAAAGGGAAAAATGATACAAAATATTGATAATAAAATAAATCATAATAATAGAATATTAACAATGATGATAATAAAAATAAAAAGATAAAATTGAAATATAATAATAATGATAGTAAAAACAAATAATAATAAACATACATGATATAAGAAATAAAACAGTGACAGATAATCATTCAACAATAGTCGTTGATTAACAGGATGGCGGTTAAAATTCAAATAATTTCGAGTATAAAAAAAAAAAAAAAGTTTCGAGTCCTTTCCCGGATACTTTATGAATATCCAAGCAAATCTTAGCTATTATAGTTTTTTATTTATTAATGTATTCATTTAGCAACGCTAATCCGCTTACTGAAGAAAATTTACACAATTTACTGTTTTAGATTTTTTTCATTCCTTTCCCGCCATTTTCCTGGTGCTTTTCTGTCACTCGCTTACTCATGAAAAAATATATATTATGATAATAGATAGATGCTAGATAGATACGTGAATAAATAACACGATCTGCAAATCTCTCTCATAATGAAATGTATATAAATGATGATATTAAAAATAGATAAATGATAGGTAGGTAAACGAACAAATAAAACACGATATATAAATTCTATAAATGAAAAAAATAAAGCAGAAAAATGGGAGATAGATGAACAAATAAAAATACAATCGATATTCTCAAAAAAGAAAAAGAAATAAAGAATAGATAGATAATGAATAGCTAATCAAATAAATTTAATCAATGAACAAAATATACAAACAATTAATGAATCAAGTAACACATACAATAAATAATAACAAATAACAAATAAACGAAATAATGATAATAAAACCAAAATCAAAATTATTAAAAATACATATCCCATGCA